TGTTGAGGCGCAACCTGAGGCAGAGGAGCAGACGGCGTTTGACATCTGTACGATGCTAGGCCTTACTCCCGCATCGAACTTTTCGGTGGCAATGCTATCGCTGGATTATCACGCTGTCGCGCAGAACCTATTGCGAATAAAAGTGGACGCGGTTACGACTTAGCGACGTATGCTCGGGAAAGTGAAAAACTGCATTAAAATACAGAATAATTGCTGCACGATACTGGAGTCGTAGAGAATCTGCCCGGCAGCCGTTGTTGAAAATATTCATTTGCCAGAACAAGATTGGTTCGGGCAGGCCATGACGTCACGGAAACAACGGAATGCGATTGGTGGCGGAGGAATACAAGGTTCGTTTTGAGGGGCATTTGCCTTGTTAAAACAGAAGTTCGGGCGAGTTGGTAGTTCATGACGCACGAGGACACAGCGCACCCGTAACAAACACTAGGACAACGTTCACAGTCACACCAAAAGAAAGGGACACTTACACAGCGCTGACTTCAACTCTTTTGTATATTCCCGCCTTTTCTCTTCTTTCACGTCTAATGCATAACCGAGGCCTCATCTTTTTCTTTCTTTGCTAAAGGTTAACTGTAAAAGTTTTAAGCCAGAAATTGAAAATTAAAAATTAAATGAAAAATTAAAATTGAAATTACTGTAGATCAATGATGCAAAGCTAAGTAATCCAGCTCTTTTTGTGACAGCGCTATAGATGGATTACTAATACACCTGCCGTTTTGCCTGGCAATGTTCTCCGCTTCTATTATTTCCCTTGTGAGCTGGTCTCGACTCCTTGCCAACACCACACACTTGTCAAGTTCCGCTGTGCACCCACAGTCCCGAATGTGTATGCCAACATGTCCAGAATTCTTGTTGATGGTGGACAGGTTGTGTTCTCTAAGGCGGTGGTTTAAACACCTACCCGTCTGTCCGATATATGTTCTTCCACAGGACAGGGGGAAGGAGTAGACCACATTTTCAGTGCATCGAACGAACTTATTTCTGTGATTCGTTGTGCAGGACGTCGGTGTTCTTGAAGGAGTGTTTACCCTCTTGCACAGGCTGTAGAGCTTGTTCGGAGCGGAGAAAATAACGTCCGTGCCTACTTTGTTTGCTATTTTCTTGAGGCCATGAGAAAAATGATGGAGATATGGCACAATCACTGGTCTTTTTGCCCTGTCCCGATGACTTTTCTTAAATCGCTCATTTTGCTTAAATTCTCTGAAAAGTCCTTCCGCCACTGATGTTAACAAGGATGGTGGATATCCAGCGCGTTTTAATCTCGACACTTGCCCATCAAAGCTCCTTTGGATGGAATGGAAGCATGACTTCGTAAGAGAGTTCTTAAGGCACAACCGCGCTATGCCTCTCTTTACGAGTTTTGAATGCGCTGAGTTGAATGGCAGAAGTGGCTTCTTTCCCCTTGGCTCGTAAGTCCAGCACGTATGGTACGGTGACGTACAAAGACGAAGATCTAAGAATCTCAAACTTCTTTCACTTGGAAGTTCGTGGGTAATCTCCAATGGGTTCATGCACCTTTTGAAACTGTTGAGAATGTCTGGTACCAAGGCTGTCAGATTTTGGTCATCGGTGGCGAGGACAATTAAATAATCGTCGACATATCTGAATACTTTTTTAACTTTTGACCCGTCGAGAGTTTGGTTTAAATTCCTGTCAAGGTGTGCAAGATACAGGTCACTGAGGATAGGTGCAATGCACGAACCAATACACACCCCTCTCTTCTGTAGATACGTATGTCCATCCCAGGTGGCGAAGGTAGATTTTAGATAGATGTCAAGTAAGTTTAAGAATTTGCTTTGGGATAGGCCTGCCGCATTCTGAAAGGCGGTAATGCCATATGTGTCTATGCAGTCCTCGATACACCTTAGGAGATGGGGTTGGGGCAAGGAATAGTAGAGATCCTTAATATCGATGGAGAATGCTCTTAGATCTAGGTCGCTATTTTGATCGAAGAAGCTGATGACGTCATAAGAGCTATGAATCAAGTAAGGATCATCGATGACTAGCAGCTTCAGTCTTTCTTGCAAATATACACCTACCGACTTCTGCCAAGTTTCCCTTTCTGAAATTATTACTCTAAGAGGGCATTCCGGTTTATGAGTTTTGGCGCTGAAGAATAATTGAAGGCTCAAGTTTTTGCTGCGTTCAATTCTGGAGCAAAGTTGATTCAAATTCTGTGACTGACAAAACGTTTTTGCTACCCGTTTGACTTTTTCCAGGGAGATCTCGTCGTGGCTGCTGAAGACAGAATCGACCGCTGTTAAAGCTTTTTCTCCGAACGTCTCCTTGTGCATGAGCACAAAACCGCCTTCTTTGTCAGCAGGCATAAGTGTCAGTGAGTGTTCTTTGAGGTATGCTTCTACTCTCTTGATAGGCAGAGGTGTAGCTGAAGGCTTGTAACGAACGAGCATGTCCACTCCCTCGGAGGTGCATCGATCTCGGTCTCTGGAGCTCGTCGCGACACTTGCCTAATGATGGAGAGTAGCTCCGGTGCCGTCTTCTTGGGTTCCACTGCAAACTTGGGGCCCAAGCTTAGAACGTGCCTCACAGAACTTGGTATATCAATGTCCCCTAACGTGTGTACTGGGTTACTTGAAGCCGTTTCTTTCTTGGGTCGGGTGGTCTGGAGATGCCTTAACATGAGTGTCCAAAGATGCTCAGTCGTACATTCCGTTAAAGAGGCGTAAGTTTGCCATATTCTTCTGCTGGAAGAAAGAGTGGTATCCTCATGCAGTAGTGAGAACAGGCTATTTCGATAGTGCCGTGCCTGCCTATGCCACTCGGCCTGGAGTATTTTACAAATTCTCTTCCCGTGCCCTACGGATGGTAGGAAGCCTCCGAAGAGGGCCATGACCTCAGGGGGCAACATCTTTACTCGTATGCAGTACCCAAAGGATCTTGCTTGGCAGACACATATGGCGATTAAGGTGACAAGGCCGTTACAGTCCAAGGAATGATGGCTAAAAGGGCCCGATGTACTAGAAATGAAGCTTGTTAAAACAGAAGTTCGGGCGACTTGGTAGTTCATGACGCACGAGGACACAGCGCACCCGTAACAAACACTAGGACAACGTTCACAGTCACACCAAAAGAAAGGGACACTTACACAGCGCTGACTTCAACTCTTTTGTATATTCCCGCCTTTTCTCTTCTTTCACGTCTAATGCACAACCTAGGCCTCATCTTTTTCTTTCTTTGCTAAAGGTTAACTGCAAAAATTTTAAGCCAGAAATTGAAAATTAAAAATTAAATGGAAAAATTAAATGAAAAATTAAAATTGAAATTACTGTAGATCAATGATGCAAAGCTTCTTCGATCAAAAGAGCGACCTAGATCTAAGAGCATTCTCCATCGATATTAAGGATCTCTACTATTCCTTGCCCCAACCCCATCTCCTAAGGTGTATCGAGCACTGCATAGACACATATGGCATTACCGCCTTTCAGAATGCGGCAGGCCTATCCCAAAGCAAATTCTTAAACTTACTTGACATCTATCTAAAATCTACCTTCGCCACCTGGGATGGACATACGTATCTACAGAAGAGAGGGGTGTGTATTGGTTCGTGCATTGCACCTATCCTCAGTGACCTGTATCTTGCACACCTTGACAGGAATTTAAACCAAACTCTCGACGGGTCAAAAGTTAAAAAAGTATTCAGATATGTCGACGATTATTTAATTGTCCTCGCCACCGATGACCAAAATCTGACAGCCTTGGTACCAGACATTCTCAACAGTTTCAAAAGGTGCATGAACCCATTGGAGATTACCCACGAACTTCCAAGTGAAAGAAGTTTGAGATTCTTAGATCTTCGTCTTTGTACGTCACCGTACCATACGTGCTGGACTTACGAGCCAAGGGGAAAGAAGCCACTTCTGCCATTCAACTCAGCGCATTCAAAACTCGTAAAGAGAGGCATATCGCGGTTGTGCCTTAAGAACTCTCTTACGAAGTCATGCTTCCATTCCATCCAAAGGAGCTTTGATGGGCAAGTGTCGAGATTAAAACGCGCTGGATATCCACCATCCTTGTTAACATCAGTGGCGGAAGGACTTTTCAGAGAATTTAAGCATGATGAGCGATTTAAGAAAAGTCATGGGGACAGGGCAAAAAGACCAGTGATTGTGCCATATCTCCATCATTTTTCTGATGGCCTCAAGAAAATGGTAAACAAAGTAGGCACGGACGTTATTTTCTCCGCTCCGAACAAGCTCTACAGCCTGTGCAAGAGGGTAAACACTCCTTCAAGAACACCGACGTCCTGCACAACGAATCACAGAAATAAGTTCGTTCGATGCACTGAAAATGTGGTCTACTCCTTCCCCCTGTCCTGTGGAAGAACATATATCGGACAGACGGGTAGGTGTTTAAACCACCGCCTTAGAGAACACAACCTGTCCACCATCAACAAGAATTCTGGACATGTTGGCATACACATTCGGGACTGTGGGTGCACAGCGGAACTTGACAAGTGTGTGGTGTTGGCAAGGAGTCGAGACCAGCTCACAAGGGAAATAATAGAAGCGGAGAACATTGCCAGGCAAAACGGCAGGTGTATTAGTAATCCATCTATAGCGCTGTCACAAAAAGAGCTGGATTACTTAGCTTTGCATCATTGATCTACAGTAATTTCAATTTTAATTTTTCATTTAATTTTTCCATTTAATTTTTAATTTTCAATTTCTGGCTTAAAACTTTTACAGTTAACCTTTAGCAAAGAAAGAAAAAGATGAGCCTAGGTTATGCATTAGACGTGAAAGAAGAGAAAAGGCGGGAAAAAAAAATTGTAAATATAACGTAGAGTTGGATGCCTGGTCTTAGTTGATAGCCGAAGTGAGCGAAGGACGTTCCAGACCGCTTGTCCTAAATTTTTTTTTCCTAAACTGCTGAACCAACTGCCTATTTTTGAGAGTTTGAGGCCAAAAAGAGCATTCCGGACTCAGGCCCAGAGACCAAGGGCTCTGAAGAAGACCGCAATGGACGAGAACACACAAAATGGTCAGACACCTCTGATTCCCACCGAAGAACCTATGGACCATTTATACTCGGTGGACCCATGCAGTCAAGCAACCAAGCCGCCAGGTACATTCAACAATGAAGACTCACAGTCTGCTAACATCACTCCTGCGCAGCGTGAGCCACAAGTCAACATGGATCACATGCAAGCTTCTTCGAACGCCGACGACGATGGCTTCACTGTCTACACGTCACGGAAGCGGAAGTGTCAGCACGAAAACAACGGGGAGGTGAATCAACTTCAAGAGACAGGTTTGACTGTCATTTTTATACCCGCAAATCCTGCTGTCTGTCTTACCAAACTAAGTAGCCTAAAACTTTCGGAAGCGCTGGAGACAATATGTCAGGAATGTATCCTAATGATCCGCCCCAACAAGCGACTAAATGTGATAGCGGTTGATACTCGTAACGCCTACGCAACGAAACTCCTTCTCAAGGTTACCACACTATGCCAAGTTGACGTGAGGGCTTATGAACCGTGTCCACGCTCAGCAGCAGTAGGTATCATAAAGGGCGTAGATCAAGAGATCAACGACATGCAACTACAAGATGAGCTGAGTGCCGAACCAGTGCCCATTCTGCATGCCCGAAGACTTGGAAAATCATCCGTTGTGAAGGTACAGTTTGCAACCACACAACTGCCGGATTACGCTCTTCTTTCTCGTGTCCGCTATCGAGTCTTTCCCTTCGAAGAACGCCCTTTACAGTGTACAAACTGTGGCCGCTACGGCCACAAGACTGTTGCATGCTTCCGCGAAACAATTTGCAGTCGATGTGGAGGAAAACACGATCGAAATGCCTGCGAATCTGTAGAGCCAAAATGCATTAACTGTGGAAGCTGTCATGAGGCGCTAGCTCAAGGGTGCCCGAAACGGATCGAACAAAAAAGGCTAGCAGAAGTTCGAAGACAAGGCCACACAACAGTATCGAATAACTCACAGGCTCACGTTCAACACGAGACAACCCACCAGAACCAACAGTCCCAACCACGCGATCTGAATGACTTTCCTTCCCTCCCATCAACCAGCAAAGAAGACGTCCAAGTCAACCAGAGTTTGAGCCAGAATGCTGTGAAGCGCACTTACAGTGACTCCTTGAAATCGGTAGAACCTCAGTCGGCACCTGTATTGAAGAACGACACCATACACTCTTATCTCACCACTACCACCTATAAAAGGAACCTCCTCCGAAACTCCACATAGAGAGCACTTGAATGCACGTGAGAAAACCGCGAAACCAGTAAGCTGTACTTCTGAGCCAAATATCGCGAATGACGGTGAGTCCATATTCAGCTCTGCCCTCAGAATCATAATTGATATCATAAGTCGTTTCTTAAATACTCAGCAATCAGAATGGGCTAAAATGATCCAGAAAGGACTTGATTTAATCAGTCCTCTCCTTTTTTCCTGGATAAAGTAGAATGTTTTCAAGATAGTTTGAGTGCAACAACGGTATTTCAATGGAATGCAAATGGACTCAGATCAAAACTTTCTGATTTTAAACAACTTGTTTTCAAATACCGTTTTCCTGTACTAGCTATAACGGAACCTAAGATTAGCGATTATTCAAATTTTAAAATTTCGGGATACACGTTTATCACTTCAAAGAGAACATGCGGAAACAGCCGCGCCATACTGGGAATAAGAAAAGATCTTACTTATGCTGAAGTTGAAGTAGCCCCCCATGACACAAATGAATACGTTTGTGCCATTGTTAACGACAAAAACAAAAAAAAATATAACTGTCATCTCCGCTTACACTGAGACTCGGGCAGCTTTTGATTCAAAACGCGTCGAGAATCTTCTTCGGAGTACCCCCTCTCCGCATTTTTTATGCGGTGACTTTAATGCCCATCATGAGTTCTGGGGTAGCGTCCGGAACGACCAAAGAGGGTGCCAGATCAGTGAACTCGCAGAAAGTTTGAACTTAGTCCTGTTGAATGACGGGAGTCCAACCTTTTATAGAGGAGAAACTGTCAGTAGCGTTCTAGATCTGACATTTGTGTCAGCTAGCTATGTCAAACATGTTGCCTGGTCAACTGATCTTGAGACCAGGGGAAGTGACCACATGCCGGTCCTGACGTTTGTCCGTGGCTTTGACAAAAGCAGAAAACCACATTCTGTATCTGTTACTGATTGGGACAAGTACTCTACGCTCGCCAGTGATTTAATTACAGCAACAACAACCAATGATCAGCTATTGCCTTCCCTAACAAACTGCATATTGCAGGCGACTCGGAAAATAACCCTGCCTTTCAATCGAACAGAGGTAGACATAGAGTACGAAAGGTTACGGGCAATCCGCAGACAAGCAGAAAGAAAAGCTAGACGCACAAAAGATCCTGAGGACTACCGCAATGTCCGGAGAGCACAAAAAAAGGTACGCAAACATCTTGACGCTCTTAGCCGACGTCGATGGAGAGAGCTCTGCTCATCCTTAGATGCAAAGAAACATCTGTCTCAACTGTGGAGAGTGATCCGCGGAATCAGAGCGCCTGCTCAACAACAATACCCATTTAGGGCCCTCGCATTGAGTGAGAGATCTACAGATATTGAAATTGCTGAGGCATTTTGTCGCCTTGTTACTCGAAGCTCAAGCTATATCCAATGTCCAAAACGCCATGTTGTTCATTCACCGTCATCAAACGAAATCTTTCTCGATTGTCCCTTTACTCTTGCAGAGCTGAGTCATGCACTACAGGACTCAAAAAAGAAATCGTCACCTGGTCCTGACGCAATAACCTACTCGGCACTCTCACGGCTGGATGAGCACTCAAAACGCAGACTACTCGAATACTATAACCAATCATTTTCTACAGGCGTGCTTCCACGAGATTGGAAGCGAGGCAAGATCATCCCCGTTCTGAAACCTGGACGTTCACCTCTTGACCTGGGATCATTTCGACCAATCGTGCTAACCAGTTGCGTGTGCAAAATAATGGAGCGAATGATCCTCTCAAGAATGACATGGTACATCGAAAAATCCAAGTTGTATCCTGAAGAAATGTCTGGATTTCGTATTGGACGTTCTGCCACAGACAGCGTAGTCGGTCTGGTTAGTTCGGTCGAGCAAGGCATTGCCGATAGAAGCAAAACTCTAGCTATCTTCATAGATATCCAAAAGGCCTTCGATTCCATCACGCACGAAGCAGTTTTGTCTGCAATGGCTGAGCATGGTTTTGGGGGGAATGTTTTTAACTGGGTGAAAGCCTACCTTAAAGAGCGAACTATCTTTATGCAGACAGTTGACGGAGACACGGAAGACCACACAGTGGAGCGAGGTGTACCACAAGGAGGAGTACTAAGTCCTACGCTCTTCAATATTTCGCTTGTATCCTTACGCCGGAAGCTCCCTAGGCATATTCAGCTTTCGATTTACGCCGATGATATCTGTATGTGGTCGACACACGCTAATCGTTTCGTCAGCCAGCGGAGACTTCAGCACGCTCTTGCTGAAATCAGCCTATATTTACGAGAACGGGGAATGTGCCTATCTCCCGAAAAAACTGTGGCCATGGCGTTCACACGAATGTCGATGAAACGTTTTCCTTTAGTCCTTGCTGGAAATCTCATCCCATACCTACCAACACATAGGTTTCTCAGTTTTTTAATCGATAAAAACCTGACCTGGACACCACATATAAAATACCTTAAATCGAAGCTTGGTTCCGCGTCCAATATCCTTCGCTGCCTTACAGGAAGGACTTGGGGCAAGTCTTGCACATCTATGCTGAAATTACAGGACTCTTTAATTAATTCTCTCATCAGGTACAGCCTACCAGTTTTGCAGAACATTTCTGCCACGAACTTTAGGAGTCTGCAGGCAGAGGCAAATAAGTCTTTAAGAATTTGTCTTGGCGTCCCTGGTGGAACTTCAAATGTTGGCACAATTGCAGAAGCTGGAGCACTTCCTTTGACAACAATGCGCATGCAAGAAACGTTAAGAATACACCTAAGGCACAAATCTCGACACAAGCGGCATTATCTCATAAATTTGAATCGTGAAAGACCAAGCTCTGGGTTCGGTAAAGCCGTGGATGAACTGCAAAAGAATATTCCTCCTTCAGCCAAGTATTATGAAACCCCATCCTGCCCTCCCTGGACACTGCATGTCCCAGAAGTTTTTATGAATGTGCCAGGTCTCATCCAAAAAGCAGCACAGTCACAAGTAATTCAACTTCAATTGACGCTCAGTCATATTCACTATGCATACTTTGACCGTGTGCATATATACACAGATGGCTCTACACGTACTACTACATCAGCCTCTGCAATAGTTATACCAACTCTCAATACAACCCGTAGCTTCAAGCTGTCACACAATGTCCCTTCAACAACTGCGGAGCTACACGGAATTAAGATGGCACTCCAATTCATCCACTCTCAAACAGTTTCACAAAAGTGGGCAATTTTGACAGACTCACGGGCTGCGCTGCAGTCATTAAAGCATTCCCTCACCTCTTCATCCAACCCACACTTGTGTTTTGAGCTTTTGTTTAGCTACGCAGAGCTCAAAAGAAGCGGGCATGATGTGGTATTCCAGTGGATTCCGGGGCACACCGGAATAGCTGGAAATCAGGCTGCAGATGCTGCTGCCTCTAATGGTCACCTATTACAAACCACGGACACCGTACCTTTTACGAAAACAGACGCTCGATCGTTAATTATGTCACTTGGTAGAGAGGAATTTAGAAAACTTTGGAAGTCACCAGACTATCATTACAAGCCACTTTTCAGAATCGATCCTTCTCTAAAAGGAATATCTCCAAAACATTTACCAAGGAAGCTCGAGACCCTTTACCACCGCATACGTCTTAATGTCGCATATACAAATCTCCAAAGATTTAGGTATGGCCACGCGGCTAGCCCGAATTGTCAACAGTGTGGTATACCCGAAGATCTCAATCACATTTTTACAAGTTGCTCTAAATTCGATGACGCGAGGTGGACACTACAGGCCACCTTACAACAACTTTATGGCGAAGCTTACAGTTTTAAAAACATGCTAGAAACTTGGAAGCCGCAAGATAAGCAACGAGGACCATTAGACGCGTTTACAAACTTTCTCGAAGAAACTGGGCTGATAGACCAACTTTAACTTTACCTGGAATCGTTTAACTATATACGTACAGTCTACGTGAGGCGACGTGAACTGAAAGTGAACACTAACTCATTTATATCTCGTGTGTGTTTATGGACAATAGTGAGCAATGACTCAGTGTTTCTGCGGTACAACGACGTTTCGTTTCTTCATCTGTGACGGTGTGAGTTGGTGTCTTCAGCATTACAACCCTATGACTGATATGTGAAAATCTGAACCTGTATCCCTGCCTTCCCTGCATTTCTGCATTCTTCTGCAACCTTTCTTCCCGCCTCCCTTCCCATGCAGAGTAGCCTGCCAGACTACGTGTTTGGCTAAACTCTCTGTTGTTCTTCCCAATAATAAAAAAAAAAAAAAAGTTGAAGTCAGCGCTGTGTAAGTGTCCCTTTCTTTTGGTGTGACTGTGAACGTTGTCCTAGTGTTTGTTACGGGTGCGCTGTGTCCTCGTGGGGCATTTGCCGCTACCTTCTTGACTTGTAACCGACTATAGTCACTTTACAGATTTTTCCAAGGAAACTGTTGAGTCGCCATATCATCGGCTGTTTTTTTTATATGGACTTAGTTACTATTCTAGTAACTCCTAAGTACACTGTGAGCAAGTCCCGTGTATTTGGCGAATATTTGGGGTGAAAAACACGCCATTTACACAAATTACCATAAATTTACACGATGAGTAACGGATAATTCGTTCAGAAATCATGCGAGGTTGTAAAAAACGTGTTTTGGTTCGGTCATACACGCATAACCGTGTAGCCGACCTCGAAAACACGCATCGCCCCCGGCGGCGACCGCGGCATTGCCTGCTATCGAAGCACCGGAATGCTTGGGGACACACTTAGAAAGGACCGTCGAGACAAATGCCGCGGAAAGAAACATGTCTCGGAGACAGATATGCACCAAAAGCAATTGCGCCATGTCGCAGGACGTTGGCGAAACCCACGCTTACCGGGCTCGCCGCCATCTTCTGGTCGATGGCAATGCGGCTTGCTTCATGTCGCCCATGTTTGTATTTAGTTTAGGGGTCCCACTGATCTCTATGGCAATTGCTGGATCGCGCTTCCCCGCTTGTTCGCTGCAGCGCAAGTGAAGCCACCGGACTTCA